CAATATTGTCCTTGTTTAGCAATCAACCATTAGTAGTTCAATTATTACGCTTAGGTACGTTGTTTAGCAATGCCAATCAACGATATATACACACAACACGTACACATACACTTAGAGTTGGTTTAGTGTGAAACTGTCTCATGTGATAGATCTCAAATATGTAATACTTTATAAGCAAAATAACTAGTTAATTTAAATTAAATGCATAAAATAAAAATAAAACAAAATAAACGTAAAAAGTAATTTAGGTATAAGGTACTTAAATGTTTAGCATTTCAAATGTAAGCCAATAATTTTTAATAGGCTAAATACTATACATGAAAATATTTATTTTATGCTGGGTAATGCATGAGATTTGAATGCAAGACATTTTGCTGATTTGCTCCAATATCATACCAAAATATATGTTTAATCTTAATTAAATAAAAGTTTAATTAAATTGATAATGATACAATTTCTTTTTTATCATCATCACAATTATCTTCAATAATCGAATGATTATATTCACTTTTGGCCTCTCATCTTTAATGGTTTGAATTGAAGTAACCATCAAATAAAGAGTGTTCAAAGTTTGAATACTTTTTATTTGATGGTTTGTGAGTTTCAAGAGTATATAACTTAATTATTAGCTAGTAAGAAATTTTATTATAACTTTATACAATTAGCACTATATTTCAGTTGTTTAATATAATCATAGAAAACTTTAAATTGCATGGATTATATCAGTGTTATCTGTAATAATACAATGTTTTTTTTTGGACGAATCCCGCGATCACTATTCAAAATGTGCATTGAGTAATGCAATGCACTATTGAGTGTTAGAAAAAAAAAAAAAAATCCACTAAATTCAATATGGGTACTACCTCAGGCTCAGCGTTATGGATGACAATTTCTCCTCAACTTCACGAGGATCCATGATCCCGCTCCGATAGGGATAGGAGATAGGGACCAAAACTCAAAGAATGATCGAGGATAAGAACGGGGAGCGCAACAGGGTTACAGACATGGTCCACACAATTGTGTGGACCATACTATTAAATAATGTACATTCAGTACACAAATAATGTACTTTTTGTATATTAAAAATATATATTGTATTCAGAGAAAGCACATTATTTGCACTGAGAGTATATTATTGTATATAATGTATATTGAGTACACGAATAATGTACATTTTATATATTAAAATGTATTTTTTTTATTATGATCCACACAACGCTATATGGACCATGATCCACAAAATAATTTGCGGATATATTAGGACTATACTTTCCATCTCATTGTCATTCCTATTTAAAATACTGGTCAGATAATAATAAAGTGACAACAAATTAAAAGTGAAAGGACTTTAAAGCAATGCACCACTAAATGTCGGATAAAATTGAGATGATTTAGCATGTATATATGACCCATTCATGTTTAAAGTTTATAAGGATAATATATAATAAGAAAAAATTAAAAATTTTGTGATGAATAATTAAAGTATATGGTACTTTAGACTAAAATAAAAGCAAAAGAATACTTTAAAGAATGTATAGAACAAATACTACCTTGTAATATAATTAATAGTACTTAAAAAAAAAAAAAAAAAAAAAAAAAAAAAAAAGGAACACTTTATGCTCAAATTACTATCTCTAAAAATGTTATTTCCCCGTTGAGTTTATGTGATACACTCACTCTAACATAATATTATCTATAAATTTTGGTCAACTAGATTTTATGCAAATAATAATAATAATAATAATAATAATAATAATAATAATAATAATAATAACAACAACAGATTTGTTGGGCGACAGGTTAGATGACCGAGCCCAACATCTTGCTATCAAAAAGTTGTATTAGCTACTATTTAAGTATAAGAAAATAAAATTACGTTTTTTATATTTGTTATAATTTTTAGTATATAGTGAAAAGTACTTCATCTGACAATTGGTAATAGAACAGTCAACTTGAATGGCTAAATACAATGCTAACTGCTAAGTAAGTATAAGGAAATAAAGACATGTGTACGTAGCATTGGCAATTGTTATACCATGGACTAGTGTTTATATTGCATTATGAACCCTGATACAAAAATTCTGTACCTTCAGTTAACACATTCTGTACCTACAATTAACAGTTTCTGTACATGTAAACAAATAACTTGATAATTGCTGACACATAATATGATAGCTACATATACAGAAACTATCTACTGTAAGTACAGAATGTGTCAACTATAGATACAAAATTTGACTTGATATATAAATGCTGATACATAATATGATAGTTACAGGTACAGAAACTATCAACTGTAGATACAGAATGTGTCAGCTATAGATACAAAATCTTAAAGTTATTTTTTGATTAGGGTCTACAATGCAAGGTAAACCTTGGTCCAAGGTATAATTTGCTTAGCATTGGTGGATTACACTCAGGAGCGGATCCACAATGAGAGCAGTAGGGTCAGTTGTCCCCCATCCCCCATCCCCTTTATATATATATATATATATGTCTCTTATATATACAGAGTAAACGTGTATAAATACTAAATATACAAAAATTGGACCAAAGGATGAGTAGTTAGCTTAGATGGTTAGGTATATCTTAGTGTGTGAAGTAATTTAGGTTTGAATCTTGAGAGCATTGATTTTCAAAAAATTTATTTTTTGGCCTTTTTGAATATTAGTAGTGAGATTATAATTGTGATTTATGAGATTAATTTCTAATTCTAATTAGATTCTTTATATGTAACATTGGGGTTTTTTTTTTTAAATATTAATAATGAGATGAGTGATTTATAATATAATTTCTATTTGAACTGTGTTTTTGTTTTGAATATCTTTATTTTTTAATCCCTAGTAATAATATTTATGACTCAACCTCTAAATATTTCATTTTATTTTTCTTTCAACCCCATTAAACAAATATATATGAATCTGCAGCTGATTACAGTTGGCATATGTGACAGTGCAATGTGTATGTACCACATGCCTATAAAGAGGTATGCCAAATGCAGCGCAGCAATATCTCGCAAACAATATTCTCTCATCTTTAGGTACATTGTTAAATTATTTATTGCCAATATTCTCTCATCTTTTTGCATCTTTAATTTCTGCATTTATTTATATAACTGCTTATCTTTCAATTTTATTCCAACTATATATCTCCTCAGTTCATATATATATCTTTCTCTTCCACTTCTCCTCTCAAATTTGTTGATGTGGTTATGAGCAAGGACATATAGATCGAGTTTGGCAGCCATAGCATAGGAGTTTCACTCAATGTGATGGGTTTCTTTTGGCCACTAAATACAGATCTTTTTCACTTAATGAATTTCTATATATGTCATCAGAATTTACCATTCAATTATAATGTATGTCGAGCTTAGGAGGCGAGAAAATTTGATCTTTTGTGAAAAAAAATTTGTTGATGCAACTATGCCCACTATGGTGGTGTGGGCTCGATGTTACTTGCGCCACACCATCTCTAGTGGTGGCTGGAAGAGAAGTGTGTTGGGTGATTAGGTATGACACCTTTGAGGTGTATAGATGATTAGATGAGTATGATCTAGTTCGCTCGCACGGATGTAGTTTAATGTTTAATAGGCAGTATTTAGAAAAAGATTAAGATTTGAATTTTGATAGAGGTAGTGTAGGGATTATGTTTAAAATGAGTAGATCTCTTGTGTGCATCTCTTGGTGGGAGATGATTTGAATAAGTTAATGAATCTTATTGGTTATTAATGATTATTCTTTAAAACTAATGTATTATGTCGTATGTTTATTTTTAGGTAACTCACCGGGCATGGCGCATTTCGAGGCTGATTCAAAAGTCCAACTGCTAGGTGAACCTCAAGAAAAAGCAAGTGTTACTTTTTGGCCATGTTCGGTAAAATAGTTAGTTTATAGGTTAATTTTGACTTATTTAATCACTATTAACTGTTTAAAGTGACTAAAAAATTAATATAAATATTTGATTAATTAGCTTTTGTTAATTTTAAAATGTTAAAATTCAAAAAGCTGCTCAAAACAACTTTCAATTAGCTTTTTGAAAAAATAAATTATACTAAACAGCTATTAGCTAACAACTAATTTACCAAATATCTTTCTACAATCATTTAATGTTATCAACTAGTTACACCCTTTAATTAACCCAAACAGCTATCAGCTAATAGCCATTTACCAAACAAAACCTTTATTATTATTATTATTATTATTATTATTATTATTATTATTATTATTATTGTAAATAAAATCAAAAAAAGGGTATTTCCAGTCAGTTTTTAACTGAATCTTTCGGTACAATTAATTACTTTAATGTTCGGTACAGTTTAATTCGGGAAAACCGAATCGAATTGCCCACACCTAAAGTTAATTACTAAAATGGTCCATTGACTATAGAAAAATTGAAAAATTATCAATTTGGTCCCAAGTTAACGAAAGTCTTAACGGAGGACCAAATTGGTTAAGATTTTTAAAGTTGAGGACTTAATTGGTCAAAAAAATTAGTTGATAACTAAATTGATAATTTCACTATAGTCAATGTACCATTTTGGTAATTAACTCTATATTATATATTATACCAATCTCAATGAATAGTTACATAATGGTTTAAATTTTTTTTTATTAACTCGTGTATGTGTTTATACATGCACTAGAAGAAAGAGGGAGACTCTACTATAACTATAGACATAAAAGAAGAAAAGCTAAACCGCCAAGAGAAGTACATATCCAAAGTGAACGAGGCACTCACTGAGCCCAAACAGGATGCTTATAAACCAAAGCGCATATCCATCGGCCCTTACCACTATAACCCAGATTCTAACTTCAATAAGGTTGATGTCAAGAAAAGATTTCTGGAATCTTTTTCTGGAAAGAACCATAAATTTGAGGAGCTCTGTAGAATCATATTCGACGACAAGTTAGTAAATGACTCACGCTCGTGTTACAATGATGACTTCCCAAAAATGGATAATAAGCAGTTCGGGAACATGTTGATGCTCGATGCTTGCTTCATTCTTCAGTTCATGGAAAAGTACTCCAAAAACGAAGGTATATATATATATATATATATATATATATATATATATATATATATATATATATATATATATATATATATATATATATATATATATATATATATATATATATATATATATATATATATATATATAATTAAGTTCTTGTCGGTTGAGTGTTTCCCGTGTAGTTGTGCGGTGATAAATGTGCATGAGTTTTATACTTAAGGTGCGTGAGTTTTATACTTAAGGTGCGTGGGTATGTATCTAATGTGAGTAGTGTTGAAACTTAATATGCATGAGTTTTGTGCTTAAGGTGCGTAAGTTTTGTGCTTAATGTGCGTGAGTTTTGTGTTCTTAATCTGAGTAGTTGTTGAAACTTAAGGTGCAGATTTGTGTTCTTAATCTGAGTAGTTGTTGAAACTTAAGGTGCATGAGTTTTGTGCTTAAGGTGCGTGAAATTAGTGTTCTAAAGGTGTTTTGTTTGATTGCTTAATGTGCGTGTGTTATGTGTGTTATATACTTAAAGTGCGTCCAACCGCACAGGAAGCCCCCCGCACCTGATCCCTTCTATATATATATATATATATATATATATATATATATATATATATATATATTTTTAATGCTACTGACTCTATTACAATGTAGTATCTGTTCATAGCTACTTTCTCAACCTATTGAAGCACAAAGAGTCAATAACGCCTCCGCTGAAGCTCGAACTCACAATTTCCCATATAGGAGTCCAACTCGGGTGCCATCTAATTAAATTATTATTCACAATTATGCTTTCAGGGGCAGATGATGAGTTCATGAAAGTTAAAGGAAACCTAGTTCCAACCTTGATTGACATGATATTATTCGAGAACCAGATCCCATTCTTCGTCCTCTTTGAACTCTTCAAACTGAAGCATCATCATCTTCATCCAAGAAATGATAATGAAAAAGAGGATAATGATGCAGTTTTGCTGCAAAAACTGATCGTGTTGGTGAGGAAATGCATAGGGACTCAAGTCCCCAAGTTACCTCCTGGGAACGTAGCCGCCCATAAATATAAACCAGTGCGTAATGGTTTACCCAAGCATTTGGTTGAAGTGGTTCATGATCTCTGCATTCCCAGGAATCCCAAATGTGGTAGGCTTCGCGATGGCGATGATTCTGGGGGAATAATAGAGCAAATCAACACCGCGACTGAGCTCGAAAAGGATGGAGTGGGGTTCAAGAAGATTGGCAAAGTTTATGAAAAATACTTTGAGAAAGAAGAGGCTAGTGCTAAAAACTGCAATCCCAAAAGTGGCAGGCTTCGCAACAACGATGATTCTGGAGGAATAATAGAGCAAATCAACACCGCGACTGATCAGCTTGAAGAGGATGGAGTGGGGTTCAAGAAGATCGGCAAAGTTTACGAAAAGTACTTTGGGAAGAAAGAGGCTAGGGCTAAAAACTTCAACGCCAAAGACTGCACCACGATGTTCGACATAGATTTCAGCAATGGGATACTGAAAATCCCGAGCTTCAGGATAGATGACGACACAGAGAGATTGTTGAGGAACATGATAGCATACGAGCAGCACTCGACAGATACACCTGTGTGGTTCTCTGATTTTGCGAGCTTCATGGACCAACTCATTGACTCCACCGAGGATGTTAACTTGCTTCGCAGAAGAGGGATCATCGTCAACTGCATGGCTAAAAACGAAATGATCACTGACATATTCAAAGATTTGTGCCAAGATGTCATAACTTATAATACCTTCTCCGGAGTGATCAGAAAGATTAATCTGCATGGCGAGAATGCATGGAATGTATTGTTAGGAAAACTCAAACATGATTTATCGTACAGCCCCTGGAAACTCATTTCTGCTGTTGTGGGTGGCCTAGTTGCCTCAATTAGTACTGCTTATGCTTTGAGAAATCTACTTCGTTAGGGCCTTAGGGGAGGCCCGGGAACAATCCCGCACTACTTTGTAAATTAGTGTGTTTGAAGATCTGAAAAATGTTTTTCGGAAAATGAGTCATTTTCCTTTCTAGTGTTTGGTTGCATTTCAAAAAACTAGTAACTGGTTTACGTTGGGAAACCAGTTCGTCGAGAACCAGATTTCTAGTTCCCAACGGAAACCAACAAAGAAGATAGAGAACATGAAAAAAGTTGCTATGGGGTTTCCAGAAAATGACTTCCCCTCAAAAAAAGGGAAAGTCATTTTCCGAAAAAATGGGTTTATTCTTCCTTTGACCGAAAATCAATTTCCGTAGACCATCATTTTTCCTCCTTTGCCAAACACTAGAAACCCAGAAAATGATTTCCATAAATCATTTTCGGGGTTTTCAAACACAACCTTAGATTGTTCAATAATAAAATTCTTTTCAGAATTATTGTTCTTATCTGCCGAGCCGAGCTAAGCGAGTGGAGCATGATTCTCTTACATGGTCACAAGTTTGATAGTAAGCACGCCCTTACATAATCGTCGCAGTGCAAGTTTCCCTAGTCATCCAAAAAAAAATTATCTCTTAATTCAGGTCGGACATATATTTTCTCAAATTCCAAGCAAGCTACATAAACATGATAATACCTGCATCCATATCCTCAAGAAGTAATGAGCAGCTTCTCTACTTTATATTGTGTGTAGGTACACTAAGATAAAATTTAGTGTTCTTGAAATCATCTAGTAGAGGGTTGTACCCATCTCTGGTTCTCGTCTTCGAGGGAAGGCCAAATTCTTCCATGAAAGCTGATGTGTCAAGCTGCACCAAACATACATCAACTACATATTAAGTCTGGAAAAGCAATGCTTTCTTTCAAGTGGCCGGCCTGGAAGCTTATTGCACCATCAATTCAAATGCTGCTGGGTTACATATTATCCTCTACCTGTCACTATATATTTCTATAACGATCGGGAATGACAAAGATGGTACAAAAAGTCGTCCGCACGGGCTTAGCTTAATGGTTCAGTAGGCAGTATTTGGGAGAAAAGACAAAAGTTTGAACTTCGGCGGAGGCAGTTTGGGGATTATGCCCAAAGTGGGCAGATCCCTTGTGCACACCGGTATTTGGCCCTGCCTGCTAAGCCATTGAGTCATCGTGATTTACATCCTCCCAAATGCTCTGTCGGGCCGGGATGTGGGAGGCCCTTGAAGTTGGGGATTCAACTTTTTGGGAGAAAAAAAGATGGTACGAAAAGTCCTTGGACTAGCATATAATAAGAAGATGCAAGTAACAAACTCACAGTAGAAGTCTAGTCATTACCGTTAGCGTGCGTCTTTTCTTCCCCAGCTTGGTTGATATATCTTGTTGCTGCTTCATCCATCCAGAGCAATAATGGTCCATGCATTCCAAGAGCCAAAAATCGGTTGGAAAAAATATATCAGCATCCCCCTGCAAAACAATAAACGAATATTTCACAAGTCCCACTTACTGCACTTATCACTAGCTGTGCCAATGGCCCCCAGATAGTTAAACTCACATGTTATAGTGTCACAACATATATATCATTTATTCTTCTAGGTCAAAAAGTACATTTGCAGATTCTATTTCCATTTTATAATATTTATTTAAGTCACATTATATCTTTCAATGCATCCAAAAGAAAGGATTGCCAATAGTTCTGAGAACTAAATGAACTCTCTATTAAGAACATGACAAATTACAAATCAATGCACACCTTTGCTTCCAAATAACTGTTGTAATCTGAACTGCTTCCATCTCTCTGCAAAGAGGAAAAATTTAGAAGAAATCTAGAAGAAAAATTTAGAAAAATTGGCCTAGGTGCCGATTAGGCGCTAAGCGCCCCTACACCAAGGCCCTTAAGCGGACATTAGTCGGCCAACTAGGCGGCCTAGGCGCCCAAATCAGCCAACTCAGCTGAGTGTTTTTTTTTTGTGTGTGTGCAATATGTACACTCCTGTGTTTTTCTTATTATTATTACTCGCCTGCCTAGGCGCCCGACTAGCACCTAGCGCCTTCTACAATATTGCACTCAAACAATTGCAAGTGACATGAAATAGGATGTACCTTAGTTGAGACCAGTGGAGCTCTTTCACCAGGAATTCTAACATCAGGAAGATAACTGAAATCGGAAGCAATTAAAGACATCTTTGGTAAAGCTCCATGTAAAACTTCTAGAAGTTTCTGAATATTTGAGGAATATCACTGCATAAGTTTACAAATCTAGATAGAGAAAAGAACAAGACCAGAATTTCATTTAATAATAAATAAATATAAATTTGATTTCAGAAATGTATACCAAACAGCCAGTCGGAAGCCAACATCTTCTAGGCCTGGGAAATACTTTTGCCCAAGCATTTTTCGCCATTGAAGTCAGTTTGCTGCTATTACTTAAACCATCACCCTTCATATCTATGATTTCCATACAACTTGTGATTAATGGGTCCTTGACAGGCCTATACAGCTCAGAAAGTTCTGACCTGTTAATGGAATATAAAAATGTATCAACTGTTATTTACAGATGAAATGGTCACAGCTATGGAATTTGAAGAGAGATAAATATAATATAACCTCCCAATATTGACGAGATCACAATAAATTGTCAATTTGTTAAAAAGTTGTATCATTAAGCTTTACGTATGTTGTATCAGTTGTTTTTTTTTTTTTTTTAATGCTACTTACTCTATTACAATGTAGTATCTGTTCATATGGGAGTCCAACCCGGGTGCCATCTGAGCACAAGGTGCTTGGCTGTTGTATCAGTTGTTAAAGTAATATAAAAATGTATACCAACCTTTGTGGTTGCCTCTCGACCCATACTTCCATCCACGGTGATGTTTGATTTTCAGAATAGATAAGATCATGTGGAAGATTGTCAAGGACCTACAAGATCACTAGGTTCATATGAGCTTCGAAATAAATTTGGCAAATGAAAACATATGTGAGGTATACTCTTTGTATCATTGAATATCTATGAACGACGAGTATTATAGTGCTTTGTTTATTGTAATCATGCCCGTAATATGTTATAGAAGCAAGTTATTGGTGATTGCTTATCAAAACTCAAAAGCAGTGCTCTGGAGAAGTAAGAAAAGCAGATATACCTCAAGCATGATAACCCAACAAGGTTGGTTGTTCACTTCCCCTGATTCAACAGGAAAATTACATAAGGATTCAACAAGTTCGTGGCACCATACAAGTTTCTAAAGAAATGAGAAACATAAAACAAAACAGCTAGCAAGCAATGAAAAAAAATACTTATGGTGGTAGCAAAACGCTTTACCCAATAACACCAGAAATAGATAGGGAAAATGGTAGATAAATAAAGACTTGGAAAGATGAGAAAAATATACCCCACCCACTCCGGTCAGCAGCATCACGACACTCGACTTTGAACTTGGATGCATGACTATGAACTTCTCCAACAGTTTGAATCTGCTTTGCAGCAAGAGCCGTACTAATTTCAACTGAGCTGCACCCAATGAAATAATAATAATAATACTATAATAGTAATAGTAATAATATTGCTTATTCAACTACCCTCTCTTTGCCATCCCATCAATTGCTCCTTTCTACCTTTAACTGAGAAGGAACAGCTTAATTGAACCAACTAAAAAATAGTCAACCAAGCTAACATGTTTATCAATAGTGAACCAAATTTTATTTGAATAAGCTAATGATTGTGCATTATTCTAATAACTAAATTGTAATTAGATTGACAAGTAGATGATCACCTACGTGTACGTCATATGCTCATAAACTCTTGTAGGCGCATTCAACTTTATGTAATCCAAAATTCCCTTTGCACAGGTGCCTGATCCTCCACCTATTTCATATATCTATACCAAAAGAAGGGAAGGGGGTTGATAGCGGTAAAAGAAAAGAAATTGATATAACTAGAAACTATATCTTTTAGTCTCAAACTGAACAAAAGTTAATTGCAAGTTTTCATTTTATTTTCTTTCTAAAGTTAAAATCTTCAAAACAGACAGCTATCAATGAGGATAAAAGCATAAAGACGTCATACACAACTAATGAACTTACTTTTAGTGGAACAGATAAATTAGTTGTTCGCAAAATAGCTTCTGCAATTCCATGACCATACCAAGGCTATAAAAAGAAAGATTCACATAAGTCTGCCTGAAAAGTTGAGTAGCAAAAAACAGGGAACTGAATTAACTTAATGTTTGCATTTCTGTTTTTAATATTGAGTAAATTTAACATTTCAGAGCAAAAACAAATAAATAACAGAATGGAAATGCAGTGACTTCCTTTTGCTTTTTCATTTTTGATAGACAAAGTAAATTTGAGGGCTTGGACTCCATTTAAGTGCTTATTTTACCTTAAAAAGCTCCACTGGTGTAAACCATGAAATGCCACTTTGCTTGTAAATTCTATCCAAATGCTTCATATAAGCTTTCCTGCCTGAAATGTTCCAGATATTGAGTTTACACTAGTAAAGCCGAAAATTGTTTATGCTCCAAGAGTTTTAAAATATTTCCTTTCTCCCATCCTTACTTTCATATTTTCCACATTATCCTCAACTATTTGGGGAAAAAACTCATTTTTTTCCAATTGGATGATTTTTATTCAACAATTATATATAGGGGGTTTGGTAAATAGCTATTAGCTGATTGGGTTAATGGGTTTGACTAGTAGATAGTATTAGCTGATTGTAGAAAGACGTTTGGTAAATTAGTTGTTAACTGATAGTTGATTACATGCAAAATGACTTTCTCAAAAAGCTGATAGAAAAAGCTGCTTTGAGAAGCTTTTTGAATTTAAGTGTTTTCGACCAATAAGCTATTACAGAAAGCTAATTAATCAAACACTCATATATTTGTTGTTTAACCAGGTCAAATAGCTAATAATGGTCAAACAAGTCAAAATTGGCTGATAAGCTAACTATGTTACCAAGCTTTTCATCCATGCTTCATAAGAAACACTAAAACCTAAATGTGCAGTGAAAAATTTGCACTTTGAAGCATGATCCCATGGAACAAATCAGCAATAACCTTCTAATAGTACTGAAATCTTATTTCCAGAAACTTGAACCACTATCATCATACAAGTAAAATGTAATAATCACATTACTTATTCAACTAATCAAAATAAATGAATAAAATTGGCAGCATAAAAATAAGAGGAAAACAATTAGAGCAAGATTAACCTTCAAGTTGATTGAATTTAATGCTTTTGTCAAGAACTCCAACTGAATCAGGCATCTGAGAGAAGTACCCATGATTGGGATCATACAGTGCCTTGTGAATAAAATCTCTAACCTTCACATCAAAATCCCCAAAAAAAATCATAACTTTATTAAGAAAACCAAAAAATAAATAAATAAAATTATATGACAAAGGTGATAGAAAGTTAGAAAGTACGAGAATCGGTGAGTCCCCAACAATGTGAGTGGAGAAGAAAGCTGAATACCGGTGATTGAAGAAGTCCAGTGGTGTCACTGAGGATGAAAAGATTCAAATAATCAGAGAGAAAGTAGTGGAAATTAAAACAGACACCACACACAGCGAGAGAGAGAGATGACCTTTGGGATTTCTATTGAAGAGGGAAATGATATTTCTGGAGGAGAAAGAGGTAGAAACCATAGCTCTTGAGCGAAGATTTGCTTTCATGACTTTCGTCAGTGTTGTATATTTTTTCCCCTACAATTTCGTAAGGGTTGAAGGAGGGTTTTATCATCATGTCCTATCTTTTTTTCCCCTACAATTTCAGTGTAAATTTTTTTTAATGAGAGAGATCCGCTAATACTAAATAAGTGTATTCATTATGTGAATTTCACTTTTGTGTATTTTTACTAATTATTTTTTGTACGTGTAAACAAAATAAAGCCCCACACATCACATAGTAATTACAGACACATAACATGATAACTACAAACATATAAAACGTAATTACATGTACAAAATATGTTAACTGACACATAACATGTTAACTAAAATCTTATGTATATGTAGTTAACATATTTTATACATGTAGTTAACAATTTGTGTCTGTAACTATCATTTTATGTGCTTTCAATTTATTTACAAGTGTAAAAATTCTTAATTACATATACAAAATATGTTAAATGTATACACAATTTTTAGATCTGAATTCATAATATCTTTTTTTTTAGAACAAAAGCCCATCCTGTAAGAATTATTAGAAGCTTCATAATGTAATATGAGATTATGAACCCTGGTTCAAGGTATAACAATTAGGAGTTGGGACTTGGGACATAAGTTTGCAGCCCAAACTGCCAAAAATTAATTCCAATACTGCAAAAGCCCATCTTGAAAAATTATTAGAAGCTTCTCAATTTCTCATTTAAAAATGCAAACTAATAACAATAAACGTCCTTCTAAGACTAGGTGTACAATTGTTTTTCCTTTTTTTTTTCCCTAATAAAACGATAGGTAAAATGTGCCCATAACCTTATATATAATTGTTTTCTTAATGTGAAGTTTAGTCACTATCCAAAAGTATGTTATAAATCACGCACAACAATAAGTTACAACACTACTAATTTTTGGTACGAGAATCATATTTTATTCACTCGATCACTCTTTTATGATCAATTATAAGAAATTCTTAAACCTTGTATAATAGTGTTATAGTAATTATTAAAAAATAAAATAGACTAGGTCGATGACTTATGTTTGTCGTGTGTTGAATTAGGTCATCATAGTTGTCTTACAATACTGACATGTTATCTACCTAAACAACTATGTTCACATACCAACTAAGAAGTGTCATATTAACTCACTTGAAATTTGTCATCATGATACAAACTATTGTGTTTACTATAAATAGCTAGTGATTTTGCTATCCAAATATCTTCATCTCACTTCTTGCTATTGAGCATGTAGTCATTAATGTGCAATCCAATTATTAGCTTAGACTTTTAGTTGAGATGAAGCACATGCTTCAATTTGGTATCAGAGTCCAACCAAAGGTCATGTGTTTGAATCTTAGTGCTACAACTATTAATTTAGACTTTTAGTTGAGATGAAGCATTCGCTTATATTAAAGCGGTCTAACATTCTTTACAATCATTCTTGTAAATAGTCGTTGATATTCTTCTATTGTAAATAAACATACTCTCTCATTTCTCTATCATCTCAATATATATGAAGCAATGGAAAGACACGAGCTCCTACTTTTCAGTCCAATTTTTAATATCACTAATTTATACTATTATTAAAATGATTAAAGTTTTCATTATATATAGCGATTAATTATTGAGCAGAGATTTAAAAATCAAAGCGTAACGCCAGTGTCACACAAATATAAAAATATATATATAATTATGATTTTACTATATTATAATTTTTATTATAATAATATAATAAACAATTGATTCTTATATATATTATTTCAAAACCTATAAAACCTAACCCAAGAAAGTTGCTTATTAAATTCTCGAATTTCAATTAGTTGCATAATCACATGTCATTTTGTAATCATTAAGTAACGTAACCAGTTTATAATATACTACCAAAGAAATGGATCGTACAATTTTATAATTAACATACAGATGCATGAATAGTTGACAGTCGGACCAAGTTGCAACTTGCAAGATGCAACTTACCATTTTGGTACATATTTTAGTTGCCTTAGCTAATTATTTCCACTATTATATTGCATCTGCTTTATCACTTCCCAGACCCCATTGCTTATGATTGGCTTTCAAGTTGGTCCAACAAGATTATATAATAATGAGGGCAAAGGTTCGAGACTGTCGCACATAACTTTTTTAATGTAAATTACTTTTTTACGTGATTTATAAACTGTTAAATAAGAATGAAGTGTGTATATCTTCAGATACTGTGAATAGCTTAAGGTACAAAATTGTATAATATGAGACACAGAAACGCATAATCCAAGACACATACACCTGCTTTAAGTAAATTTTTTTTTAAAAAAATATGTAACGTGAATTGAACAACAAACGGACACCATTAAAATTAAAATTCAAAACGACGTCGTTTAGGATCAGGATTCACGGTATAACGATTGCACAACTGACGTGCTAGTTTGCTAGATATTTAATTGCTATTAAGCCATTGTGTGCCATGTGATATACTCCGTAGTATTTATGGTCTTTTAATATTTGTGTGAGACCTCTCACGGGCAAATTATTGTATGGACCATGGTCCACACAATGTTATGTGGACCATAACAAAAAATATATTTTTAATATATTGAATGTACATTATTTTTGTACTGAATGTACATTATACAATATAATGTACACTAAGAATAAAAATAATGTACATCCCATGAATACAATGTACATTATTTTTGTTTTGAATGTATATTATTTTTGTACTGAATGTACATTATTTTACAGTAAACAAAATATGGTCCACACAACTTGTGTGGACCATGGTCCATACAATAATGATTGCCTCTCACGGGTCTCAATCCGTGAGACGGGTCAGATCTTTGATTAATAGGTTGGATATTCGACCCCATTAACCAACGATCCAACCTGTCTTATGGACTGAGACCCATGAGACGGTCTCACACAAGTTTTTGCCTTTTATTATTATTATTTTTTTTTTTGAAAAACCAAATCATGAATATTATTAAATCATAAATTCAATACAAGGCGGAATAGAAAAAAGTCAACAACCAGGACCAATTTGAGAATGCGTAGCTCTAGCCAAAGCATGAGCTAGTTTGTTCACTGATCTAGATACATATTGAAAAGACACCATTTCAAAGTGTCGTTTTAAGATATGACATTCACGTAAAACACAACTCGCATAAGAATAGTCCTGTGAAATGTCATTCAGAAGCTTAACCACCATTTGAGAATCTAAGAAGATGATGATTTTGTGATGTCCCCTTTCCATTAGCCAAGATATATAAGGCTTCCTTCACTGCAAAAGCTTCCGCCAGATAATGCCCAATCATATGGAAATACAGTAATGTTGGAGAAAATTGACTTGGGTTTAAATTAATTATTCTTAAAATAAGGATAAAAAAAAGTTAAAATAAAAAGAAATACTCAAAATAGGGCGAAGAACTTGTAATATTGGTCAATAATTAATTTTGTGATTACAAGATGAAGTGTAAGAATGAGATAAACGGCCGCTCTCTGAGAACATAATTGGACTATTTATACAAGAAGGATCCTAACTGCTCTCTTAGTGACACCTTGTGCGATCTGAATGCTCCTTCGAGAGGATACTTATAATGGATGGTGTTGATACTTTCTCAACCTATTGAAGCTCACTGAGGCTTGAACCTAGTTCAATAGTAATACGAGGCCATAAGATTTTATTTTATTTGTTTAGTACTATTGATACTATTAGAATGTAGTATCTATTCAAATATACTTTCACTAGGAGTCGAACATGTAATCTCCGATTTGAGAGAGCCATAGAGACCACAAGTTGTTTTTTCCCACAAAACATCGCAAAGAATCTTTGGCGATTCCTTGATAAGGATTATATTAATTGTAACGAATAAGAAACATTTCGAGTATTTATGTTTCCTAATTGTTTTTGAATTATTGACAAATTTCAAATTCACACTTTAAAAGCATGTAAGAACTCCATAAAATTACTAAGAAAGAATAAAATAACAATACTGATATTCCCCTACTTGAATATTCTTTTACTATACCAATATGGCTATTTAAACTATTATACTAATAATACCTCTAATTATTAATCCCAAGGTAATAATTAATTGATAATATGGCTATCATCATATATCATTTCATTCTTTCATCCACTTCATCACTTTACATACATCATAAAGTCTCCAACTAATCTATTTGCAGCTCCATTTTGTTCTCTGCATAAAGTTGGGAAGAATTAAACCTAGCTTTTATAACATGAAGTTATCCTCCCATTCTGTAGAAGTAAAAAAAAAAAAAGAAAAAAAAAAGAAAAAAATAAATAATGAGGCCTTTTTCTTTCTCACTTTTGGGTGGTCATAATCGGAATTGCCTAAACTCAGAGCCAGAATGGAAAGTTGTTAGTTTTTCACATCATTTACCTAACTAACGAACATAGGACTGATATATGTTCCAATCATTTGGAGTCAACAAACCTAACATTAAAATGAAAATAAATGATGGTTTTCTCTATATTAAAAGTTTTGGTTGTTATAGAAGTTTAAATATGACTAAATTTTTTATTTTTATATCAAGAGGAGGGGCCAACCCCATTAAACTACATTACGGAGATGGTGTGTTTCTGGGAACATCAAGACCTCCACTAACATCTCAAAAGCCTCCCTTGTGGGTTGAACCCAAACTCTTATCCCACGCTCCTGACTCAAAGCTCGCTTATCCTAACAATTTGTCACTCAATTTTGTTTCCTGATAAAAAACATGATTGAATTTGAAATAAGGAAAATGTCACTCATAAATAACTGATTTTTAATATATAATGTGACAAAATGTCACATTGTAAATATGCAATGTTGTAAAAATCGCGCCTAGGCGCTAGGAGGCCGCCGCGAGGAATGGCCTCGGCGGCCTCTTCAGCGGCTGGCCGGCTAGGCGGTCTAGGTGGCCGCTTAGACCGCCTAATCGGTCGGTTCGGCGATTTTTTTTTTTTTTTTTATTTTTTTTGAAATTGTCGAAAAAGTTTCGAAAGGCATAACTTTTGACTCGATTGTCCGGTTTGGACAATTTTTTTTTTCAAATCGCGTATTTTTCGAGATCTATACACTGCAAA